TATGCTTTTGACATGTCCAACTTCAGTGCACTCCAGCCTACTACACCACACTGCTTCCTGTTCAAGTAGTGACCCACCTCAGCTGCCACCAAGATATTATCTGTAATTAACCTGCCAGGCATAAATGCACTTTGGGATTCGGAGATGATATCTCCAATCAAAACTTCCATTCTGTTTGCCAACATCTTTGCCATTATCCTATATATGACATTACTTAATGCAATCGGTCTCAAATCTGCAACTGTCTCTGGGACCTCTTTTTTAAGAATCAATACTATGTTAGTATCGTTCAGACCTTCTGGAAACACCCTAGAGTTCAAAGCATGCAATATAAAATCAGACACATCATCCCCCACAATAGACCAAAAGTGTTGATAGAAACCCAGATTCATTCCATCCGGGCCTGGTGCTTTATCCGGGAACATAGAAAATAGTGCGGTTTTTACCTCTTACTGATTCAACATCTCATTATTCTCATTCGACATACGGGGGGCAAAATCATTAAAGAGAGGATCATCACAGCTCAAATTATTAGAAGCAAATATGCTCTTAAAATATCCAGAATCACCGAATGCATATCTGTATCCTCTACCCAATCCCCACCCTCATTCTTAATATTAGCAATAAAATTCTTCTTTCTACGGGCAGAAGCATACCTGTGATAGAACTTGGTGTTAGCATCTACACCCCGGAGCCAGTGTTGTTTTGCACGCTGTCTCCAAAATACCTCCTCCTGGGCCTCCAATTGTTTTAACTGATTCTCATTCTGTTGGAATTCGGCCAATGCGACCGGATCCGTTATATCACAGAACCCCTCTTGCTGCCTTCGCAATTGCCCTATTCGGTGACCAAATTTATGGAAATGGTCCCCCCCCCCCCCCCCCCCCCCCCCATCTCATCAACTTCATACCACAAAAGTGCTGATAGTGCAACAAGCCCTCCGGCCTCCCCTCCTGCCAAGCTGTCTCCACCACCTCCTTGTACCCCTCATCCAATAACCATGCATTTTCAAATCTAAACCTCCTCGGTCCTCTTACTCTACGTATACTGAGAGCATTTATATTGAGAAACAAAGCCGAGTGATCTGATTCTCTAGTCTGCATATTCTCCACCCATGCATTCTCATTCATACCACCCCACTCCTCCGTAATAAGCACCTTATCAAGCCTCTTCTGTATCCAATTCATTGTGCCTTTACTCTTATCCCATGTAAACTGGCGTCCCCACATCGGCATTTGCACCAAACCACACTCATCAATAGTTTCCCCAAATCCTCGTAAGAGGTTATTTGGGTATGGATTTCCCCCACTCTTTTCATGTTGATAGAGAAGATTATTAAAATCCCCTATCACCACCCAGGGTAACCCAGATCTATTCTTTAACATACTCAGCAGCTCCCAGGTTTCCTGTCTTCTATTTCGATCCGGACATCCATATATACATGTCATACGCCATAACTTGCCATTCATACTAACCTCAATATCAATATGGTTGAGCGAGTAACTCAACAATCTAGCCGTGTTGTTCTTCTTCCAAAGGAGTGTCATACCCCCACTCAGGCCTTCGTTATTCACATAAAACAAACCCTCATAACCAAGCCTGACACGGACTCTCTCCGCATGACTCCGTGCCACCTTGGTTTCCATTAAAAACACAAACTCTGGCTTCTTACGGGACACCAGGTCCACTACTTCTCGAACTGTGCATGGATTGCCCAAGCCACGACAGTTCCAGCTTATCGTACTCATGATGATGGGCGGGGCTGGACACCAGCTCCCGCCATGGACAAGTTTTTTGAACTAGCAGTGTTTGTTACCTCATCATTCCAACCATCCTCCCCAAACTCCGTCCCATGCCTACGACGCTTCGCCGTAGCCACCACCACCTTATCCTCAGACATACTCGTGGGTGTGACTCCACCACCTCCCCGACCTCCGTCTACTGCCTCAATCATTCGTGGCTTTGCTACCAGTGGACTTGGTTTCCCGCCTACCGGCACGAGCCAGCTATCTCCAACCGCTCTAGGAGCGCTCCGGGACCCACCAGCCCGCATATCCGGACCGTACAGGTACCTTTCCACTGGAATTCCCGCCTCCCTAGCTTGTAGGCAGAAAGTATGCAAGTGACCCATATAACCACAAAAGTAGCAAAACTTATGCAGCCGTTCATACCTGAAATTAACCCATGTTGTAGTCCCATCTCTCTTCATTAACCTCATCCTTCTCCTAAGCGGCCTATCAACCGAAATTGATACCCGAATACGGTGGAAGGTTAACCATGGTGCCCCTTCAAATCTCTCATCATGCTTAACAAAAGAGCCCAAAAAATTCCCCGCCTATTCCAGAATTGCATGAGATGTGTACCCCTTCGGCATGTCATGCAGCTGTACCCACATATCAATCATATCCAGCTCCACATCCACATGATTCACCCCGTCCAACACCTCCCGACACACAAGTGCATTATTCTCAAAAGCCCAGGGACCCCCATTCAGAACATAGTTCATATCTGTTTTATGGAAAAAAAAAAAAAAAAACAAACAAGAACAAACCCCTTTGAATCTCTCACTTGTACCCCACGCACTGGCTGCCAAACTGACGCTAATATCTGTCTCATAAAATCCAGTTTAATTAACTTTTGCGTCAAAAAACGCCCGACCACCCTCCATGTATCCTCCTCACCTTCCCCGCCTCCCTCAACCCCGTCATCATCCCCTCCCGTCATAAACACCGCACCCTCCTCCTCCAGCAGTGCCCAATCCGCCCACCTATCCGTCAACTCCGCCACATCCGCCCCTACCCCCGGCTGCCGTACTGCCCCCCCTCCTCCCTCCTTCTCTGTCCCCTACTGCCCGTCCCCCTTCCATCCAAACTGCCCACATCATCACATGCCATTCTGCCACCTTCTCCATCCAGCGCACCTCGCCAACATCGCCCACCGCCATTACCCCCTCCCCCTTTCTCCCGCTGCATGTTCTCCATAGGTAACACCTCGCTATTCCCGATTACCCTCCCAGCCAAACTTCCTCCACCGGCTCGCCGCATCCCCTGTCCCCCTTCTCCCGTTCGGCGCAAAACAGTCCCGTCCGACAGCCCTACGCCGGACCGTTCATCCACAGCTCTCGTCTCCTCCTCACGCCCAATCAATTCGTCATCCATAGCAACGTCTCCGGCCATCGTCCGGACAGAAAGAAACCGATCACCGTTGAAAACCTAGGAAAATCCTAGTAGGAAACGCAAAAACCCTAGAGATAATATAGAGAGAGAATTTTATGATAATTTGGACCAAGTATCGATTATTGAATATTAAAATTAAAAAAAAAAGTACATATGTAGGAAATGATTGTTTAAAATAAAGAAAATATATTTTTAATCCTTGAAATACTTCAATTTTGAAATTTTGGTCATTATAAATTAATTTAAACAAATTTAACCCCTTAATTATTTATGATGTTATACTTTTAGTCTATAGTGTTATATAATTGTCAACTTCCATTAACATATGACTATATGAGGTTATTTTTATCATTTAGAATTAATATTCATTATTAAAAATGACGTTCACATGAAGAGAATAAAACTTTAACCGGGGATATTGATTCAAAATAATAAAAATAACTTAAAAATATTTTAGTAATTATATAATACTAGGAATTGAGAATGCAATATAATGGACAATTAAAATACTATATTTATTTATAGAGAAAAATTTCACTTTTGGTCCTATAATTAGTATTGTTAATTAAGGTTCACGGGTTTAAAAATTGTCAATTTAACTCCACAATTATTCAATTTTAGTCCCTCCCGTCAAATTATTGCTGAAAAGTAACCGAAAATTTTTAATTGGTAAAATGATGAGGACAATTTAATCTTTTGCTTCTTCTCTTCTCTTTCTTCTACATTGGGCTTCATCAGTCTTCTCTTCTCAGGAGCTCTAGCACACAGATCTTCCGGAGCTGCCACCACAGGTTGTCGTAGGGACAAAAGGCGATGTGGTTGTTGTCGTACCCGATGATATTCAAAATCAGGATCTCGGCCTAGTTGCGAAAATCAAGTCGTGGGTTTTCATAACATCTTCCGTGGCCACCGACAACGAGATGACAACAACCATAACCTCATTGAGCTAGACGTGCATTATTGTTCTGTACTTCTCGGCCAACTGCCTCAGGCGACGGTGTGACGTGGAACAGATAGATTAAATCAACTAACATAGATTAAATCTCTAAAATGAACCAATTCAGGGGTAAAAAAAATATTGTTGCTTTCTTCAATTCTTCTTCATGGGTTAAAGATATCCTTTTATATGCTATTTTATTGCTTAGGTGATTTGTTTCCTGAGACTATCGGCATCCTTACAATCTTCTCTCATCTTTAAAATGTCATACCACAAAATTTACAATTATTTATTATTTACTCTCAATCCATACAATTCTCTTACACCTTTCAAAAATGATATTTGCTTTCATATCATCTTATTAAAAATTTATTTTTTATCAATCAATAAAGTAATAATAATAATTATTTTAATAAAAATAATAATAAACAAATCAAAAAGCAATTGCATGTCGGTTGCAATTCTGACACACAAATTGCATTTGTTGCAATTCTTGTGTGTCGGAATTGCAGCAAAACATCTTAAAATAAAATAAAAAAGTTACATACGATTTACAATTGCCATCTTCTCATGCAGATAACCTGAGAAGGTGATGTGTAGTCTCAAAAACTCTACCATTAAAGTATATTTTAATACTTTTAAAAGATTCAACATCAATATTATCTACATGAGACATAAAATTATATATTTTACACGATATAGTGACATTGAAATGTCATCAACAATATAATTTTATCGATTATAAGCTTACTTGACACGATGTTGAACCACCTAGTAAGCAATTTTCATTTTGGAAGAGGGAATTAAATAGTTGTGCTGAAGCCTAAAGGCCTCCAAACAGTTCACTCTCCATCACCATATTCTCCTTCTAAATGATAGTAACATAGTTGCAGTAGCAGAACTCAGCTTTGCCATTGAAATTTGAATTCTCATTTACAGATTAGCATTGCATTCTTAAATGCTAAGATTAACATATGTTTAAACAGATAGATATACACAAGAAAAATGTGATCTAGAATATAGCTAGAGGCAAGCTAAAAATCTGGACTGCCCTCTTCACTTCTTCAACATCAATGTCTATCAATTTCCCAGACTTGGATGAAATGGTTGCACACTTTTTTTCTTCCCCATCTGGAACAAATAACCTCGCCTTCTCCTCCGAACAGAATAATCCCACACTGTATTGAAGAAAATAAGAACACAATTTGTCGATAACCTATGAATTATGAATGAACCCTCCTCTGGGGGGTTTGCATATTAATACCCAATTCAGAATGAATGCAAGAAAGCGGTTTCCTTTCCCTAGTTACAACGAAACAAATGGATATACCTTGGCTTCTGTCGAGCTTGTGCAAGTTGAATGGCAGCGGTGTTTGTAGCTATCACCCCAGCAGACTCATCCACCAGGGCAGCAAGCTAAAGCAAGAAATTCATATGTAAATGTTTCATATCAAGATCAGTTACAGGGAGAAAACCAGTTTCAAAAGGTCTTTGTTGTCATGCTATCGAAGAGTTAGCAGGCTTAACCGAGTTCTTTGGTTATCTGGTTGTCATATCTTTCCTAATACCAATTGGTGATAACTAGGTGGACATTAACCATTTAACCACATCTGGTAAGCAACAACGCCACGGTTGAATGGCAGGATGCTGATAATCTGGTTGTCTGGTTATCTGGTTGTCATATCTTTCCTAATACCAATTGGTGATAAGTAGGTGGACATTAACCATTTAACCACATCTGGTAAGCAACAGCGCCACGGTTGGATGGCAGGATGCTGAACTTGGCCCTCCAGGCCACAGTCCCGACAGTTAGTTAATGATTGGTGCAATGGATTGAGTAAAGAAAGACAAACCTGGCTAGGCGTGGTAATGAAGACTATATTAGCATCATCTCCAACCGCATCTTCCACATTCACCCTCTCTTTCTCGTGTGGGATCACAAAGAGTGGTTTCAGTCCCCTAATCAATCGATCATGTTAACCATTTGGTCATGTTACAACATGTTTCAAAAGCCACTTTAAAGTTTAATCCATTCATCATATCATCTGAAAGTCCAGCAGTTTATCAGGAACTATAGATATACAGAAAGAAAAAGATACCTAATTTCCTTGGTTATCTCAGCCCAGATTTCAATGGGAAGCAAACTATCAGTATCACCTCTAGACTGCATTGAAGCTTTCGAATCTGATTTCATCCCATGAATCACGATATATTTGCCCTTTTGTACCCCAGCATTGATATACTTCGCCTCCACTACTTCCCTCACCTTTCTGGGGATCAAAATCTTAAGAGGAGGCACAGGCGTTCGAGGAACCTTTCGCCCCGGTCTACCCAACCAATGAAGCATATCCTTATACCTACACCAGAAACACATCCAAAACAAGTCAGCCACAAGACTGTGTTGGATCGATCCCACATTTATGAGAAGGCGTTTCGGAATAGCATTGGCCTTGTGAACTCACTCACATATGAAATCCAGCTTCAGCTAGAATCGTACTATCTGCTTTGAATGATTCGTTTAGGAACAATCCCGCCCCTGCAGCGTTCACGTTTGGATAAACATAGCTGGCTTTATCCCGGGCAGACGACATAAACAGGAATGCAGCATGCCCAAGCCCAGCAAGTTTGGTTGATAAGATCAAATCATAGTATCTATTCTACAACCAAGCAAAGCACAGAAGCAAAGTGTTAGGATCAAACGCTTACCACTTACACCAAAAGCTATAGCCAGCCTCCATCTAACAATCCTCCTATCCCCTAGCGACTTAGCCCTTCACCAGCTTTTCCCAACAATCCTCCTAGCCACCAAATTGATGGACTTGACCCTTACTGGTCTCTGCCCACCTATGACCCGGTTATGATACCACCTGTTAGGATCAAGTGCTTACCACTTAAGTCAAAAAATATAGCTAATAGCAAAGACCACAACTTTATTGCCTTCCATCACATTTTCGAGAAGCATGTGCCTCTCATCGGCCTCGATCTAATAATTCTAGCCACCAATTGATGGACTTGGCCCTTTACCGGCCTACGCCCAACACAAATCACAATAGTCAATCACTCTTTAGGTCATAAAGAAAAGCTAAACTTTAAGAAAAAACATGAATGTCCCCTCCTAACCTTCATAATTCCAAGAATATCCAATACATCTGCTGATTCAGGAAAATCATCATCCAGGTCATATGCATCAGCAAACCTCACATTCTTGTTCATCTCATACGTTTGTTTGCCTCTGGCATTGGCGATAATATCGATCTGTACACCGGGGTACCTATCCTTAATCAGCTGAACCGCCGGAAAAAACAGCAAATTCTCGTACACTCCACCATCAACCACACAGCAACACCTCCTCACATCGCCCCTGATCTTCAGCCCCAGCGAAGCAATTTCCACATTAAACCCCTTGGGGAATTTCAAGAATCCGTATGGGTTGTCAGGATTATCGGGAGGTCTGGTATCCTCTTCCTGCTTTCCCTCTGTGAACAGAGACCCATATTCCATATCCGGGTCCTCGCCATAGTCGAAAGGGTCCAGCCATGGGTTCCTCTTCTTGGAATTACATCGGAGAGCAGCCCATTTTTGGGTGTGCCCAAATGGATGATGTGTATTCAAGAAGGGTGCATTTATGAAGCGGGTCGAAGGAATGGAAGGTGAAGTTGTGAGAAAAGGTGAAATGGATTTTGGGAGAGGAGAAGTTGCAGCAGCCATTACTTCCTTCACTGCAAGTTTATCTTTCAGTTAAAGTTGTGCACTTTTTCTCTTGGTTGATTTGTTTCTATATTGGATTATATGCGACGGTTTGGAGAACTGAAGTAGACGTTGGGTTTAAATGTGTGAAGGGTTGCAGGATAAGTAGGTCCCACGCCCTTCGTCCTTCGCTCCGAAGTGATAACTTTGGTTGGTATAGAAAGGATGGAGAAATGCTATTTTTCGTTTTGTTTTGTTTTTCTAAATTAATTTTCAAAACAATAGCTCCCTGAACATTATATTATGACATAGATATATTGGAGACGGATCTTAAACAAATCAATCTGAGGAGGCAGGCCAAGTCGATTTGGGATAAGTCAAACATGTAGTCAGTCTTAGGATCCCAAGATCGACCTCGGGCTAGCCGACCCAAACCTAAGAGGTCCATCAACGGGGGTCCATGGGCTTTGCCGAGGTGGTCGAGGGTTTGGTAAAGCGAAGACCGTATTCACACCTACATCACACCTTCGACATACATTCCAATGAACTACTCTTATTGTAAGACATTAGTATCTTTCTTGTATATATGAGAAAATTCCTATTATACCTGACTATAAATCTTTCTTCTTATTCAGTTCTTCATTGCCTAGATTCTTCAATTTCTTTGTTGGCTAGATTATTCATCGCATTTGGTCGTTGCTTCGAATTAGGGTTTTTTTTTAATCAATCAACATGAAGATATGCATGTGATAAAATGAAGGTAATGGGGAAAAGGCTAAAATGCCCACTCAAATAAGGTAAACAAACAACTTAGTGTGTGTTTGGAAACCCAGAAAATGATTTATGAAAATCATTTTCCGAATTTCTTGAGTTTGGCTAGGCAGGAAAAAAGAAGCCAAAGAAAAATGGTGTGTATCAATGGAAAATGAGTCACCTTTTTCGGAAAATGACTTCTCCTATTTTTTGGGAAGTCATTTTCCATTCTATCATCTGGCCACTCCGCCTCCATCAACACCATAGAGGCAAAAACTCCACCAACTGATTTTTTTTTTTTCTCAAATCTAAAACTCTATAGTGGTTTTCCGGTTGTGGGGACGAAACCCATAGTCGGAGGAAGTCTCCTCTGGTTTCCACATCAGCAGGAAACCAAAGCCACTGGTTTCTGATGCGAAAACCAATTAATGCCTCTAGTTTTCACAACCGGAAACCAAAGTAACTGGTTTCAGGTTGATGCAGAAACCAGTTCAAACTGGTTTCCAATGCTGCATCGGAACGCCGGAAACCAAAGCCACTGGTTTCCGGTTGTGAAAACCACTAGTGCTAATGCTATTCTTCATGATGGTGCACCTGTTTGTTCCTAGTGTTTGTTGGTTTTTGGATTGTAGACTTCCTACTTTGATTTTTGGACATTAGATATTGACTGAGCAAAGATTTCTAAACATTTTCCTGGTTTTTTGATTGTTCATTTTTAAAAAAATGAATCACACGTACAAAGACAATTTTTAATTGTGCAACCAAACACCGAAAAGGAAAATGTTTTCAAGAAAATGACTAATTTTCCAGAAAATATTTTCCCGAAGTCATTTTTCTGCTTTCCAAACGGTCCCTTAATGACGAAACAGTACCGAGAGGATTTAATTGACGAAATTTTAAACAATTCGATGATCAAATTCGTTCAAATTGAAAACTAAGGACTACATTGACAACTGTGAAACAATTGAGGGACCAAAACAATGATTTTCCCTAACCTATTAAGTTCATCTAAATTTTTGTTTAGATAATATTAATATTTTTTGAGCTAATATTCAAAATATTTTTGGATATATTCATTTGAATGAAATGTATATAAATAAGTTTTACTTTGAAGTTTAATATATGTAAAATTTCAATGTCTGATATCCAGAACTTATATTATGATATAACATAACTAAAATATCTGAACCAATATTCTATTAACTTCAATCAAAGTACATGTATATATGCGTTAATTCTCTCCCGAAGCGCGACGCCTAGGGTTTCGGCTTTCTCCTTCGATGACGAAGGTTATCAAGCTTCTCGACGACTCCGTTCTCTTCTCTACGGCAGTGGCCGGCTACTATGGCTACGGACGGCAACATGGAAGCAGCGGTGATGGGCGGTATAGCGGGGCTGACGACGCGGTGAGCGGATATCGCCTTGGAGGAGGAGGATGATGTGTTTGCACTGGTGGAACAGGTTGATGAGGGTAGCGGAGAGCCAGACAGTCCGATGTGGCGTCTAGTTGGAAAGTTTTTTACTTCAAAAATCATCAAAGTGGAATACATGAGTCAGGTTATGGCCTCGGTATGGCAGCCAGTCAGGGGGTTCAGGTAACTGAGATACAACCTGGCCTGTTCTTGTTTGTTTTTTTATCACGAGATCGATATGCAGCTTGTTCTTGATGGTGGTCCGTGGTCGTTTGAAAATCACACACTGGTTTGCAAGCAAGTCCAGGATGGTGTGATACTGGTTACGGTACCGCTGGATACTGTTGATATGTGGGTTCAGGTCTATGAGCTTCCGTTAGGGTATACGTCAGATATGATGCTAGAGCAGGTTGGTAACTTCCTAGGGAGCTTCATTAAGATTGATGACCGATTCGCAAATGCGCCCTGGAAGACGTTCTACCATATTAGGGTTTCCATATCGGTTACGAAGCCACTCAAATGCCGTATGAAACTCTTGAAATGTGATAAGACGACCTGTTGGGTAAGCTTTAAGTATGAAAGATTGCATAACTTCTGTTTTTTTTGTGGTATGATGGGACACTTGCATAAGTACTGTTTGAAGGCCTGGGAAGCGGCTATTCCGTTGGATAAGTATCCCTATTCTGATGAACTTCGTGCCGGACACCGCAGGGGACCACGGAAAGTAGGGGTGCCATGGTTGTTGGATAAGGATGGTAAGCCAGTGCAAGTGGCGGCGACCATGGCTTCTGTACTGCCGGGAGGACCGTCTGCCACCACTACGGTGGATTTGGATTCTAGCCGGCGGGGGCCTGAGCCGTTTGTGTTGGCTTCGGCGAAGAGACGGCGAGAAGGGGGGATGTGGTACATGTAGATGGTTAAGACATTATTTTTATTTTCGATTATAATTATCTATAACAATACTCGTCTTTACTACTACTTTTATCACACATTGAAAATACTCATTGTTTATTATATTGAAAATAATTATTTTATTTTTTATTAATGGAATAAGGGTCAAATAGGTTATCGAACTGCACGACGATAATGCAACTAAGCCACTGAACCCCAAAAACTACAATTGAATCTCTAAACTAACATATTCCATGCAATTAGTCCAATTTACAGGTTTTTCAGGTTTCTACAAGGTCACTCCAAATTTAAAATATTTTTTAAAAATAATTGTTTAAAAATAATTATTTAAACCGATTGAAATCGAAAAAATAACAAAAAAAAAAAATAAAATGAAAAGACAAAAATGTCCTTACTAAAAGTAGGAAAAGTCATTAGAAGGACTAAAAATGTCCAAAAAAATAATAGTCTGAGATGTTAAATGACAAAAAGGATAGTTTGAGACTAAATTTAAAATTGTCACCAAAGACAAGGGACCTCTGGTGGAATTAACTCATTTTTATATTTAAACTTGAGATAATTCAATTTTTTTGTCATAGATTTATAGGTGACAATTCACTTTAAGTCATTTTTTATTAGAACATCCACTTTTGGTCCTAGTATTATTGTGGCATGACCATTTTTGCTCCTTTATTAACAAAATAATTTAAATATCGTTAAATACAAGGGCATTTCGGTCTTCAATTATGAATTTTTTTCCAAAAAAAAAAAAAAAAAACAAACATAAAAAATATAGCGATTCAACCTACTTTATATACAAAAGATTAAAATGTCTTTGTATTTAACGACATTTCAACAATTTTGTAGGAGGGGAATTACAAATGATCATGTCACAATAATACTATGACTAAATGAGAGTGTGTTTGGTTCGCGCATAGGAATCGGAATTGGAATGGGTATCAAATATTTGGTAATGATAATGAGTTTTAGTGAAAGTATTTAAAATGTTTGGTAGTAAGGTGGAATGAAAATGATTATAAATAGTGGTGCTTGAGAATGAATAAGGGAATGAAACCCTTATTTTATTTTTGAGTATGAATTTTTCAATTGATGTGGTATTTGAAACACATAGTAATGTTCTAAAAATCTATCAACCAAACAATAACAATCACTTTCATACCCATTCTTATGAGCAAAACTCATCAACCAAACACACCCTAAAAATATTCTAATAAAAAAGAACTAAAAATAGACTGGTACTTATAAATGTTAAAAAAATAGAATTTAACTCTTTAAACTTCTTCTCCCGAATACTATTTACTATTTATATTTAAACTAATTTTTGAAATGGCATGCGAAATACGGGTAGGGATCGAAGCTGAACATGGTACAAATACAGGCCCCAACAGAACTTAACGGGTAGTTACACTGTCACTCTCCTGCTTCACTTCTGCTATGTCTAACCTTCCTCAGCTTCAACACAACCTTAAGCTTTGCACATTCTGCTCTTTCTAGGGTTTCGTTTCTCTGCATTCCTCCCCACACCATTCAAAATGCGCATTCTCTTTGCTTTTACTCTACTCAAGCCCTAAACATTTCTTATTTTATCCCAATCCGAGTGGGTCCGGGGGATTTCAGCCAATGTCGGGTCCCCCGCGGGTGAAATCTATGAACCACGCCGATCCGGAGCTCCGGCCCGTGCTCGGCCCGGCCGGTAACAAGGCGAGATCGGTGGAATTGCGGAAGCCCGTCGAGAAGCTGAAGGCGGCGGCTAACAAGGCGGAGAAGCCAGCAGAGGGCGTTGACAGGAAATTCCAAGCAATGCCGGTGGATACTGGGGCGGAATCACGGTCGCCGGAGAAGAAATGTGGGAGTGTAGGTTCAATTCTGAGGCAGCAGCAGCAGGAGCACAGGTCGTTTCTGATGAGGTCGAATTTGTGGATGAATGCTTCTTGCTCCTCCGATGCGTCGTCTGATTCCTTTCAGAGCCGGGCTTCCGCGGGGAGAGTTAGCAGACGGAGCGTGACCCCGTCATCAGCTCGGAGGAAGCAATGTAGCTACAAAGTGGAGAAGATTGATAAAGTTGCTAGTGAAGCTGAGAGCTTGTCTGTGACTTCTGAAGATGCCTCTGTAGTGAAGAAAAGATGTTCTTGGGTGACATCCAATACTGGTATGTTTAATTTGGGAAAATTACATCGGACTAACAAAATTGAAATAATTGGAAATATTTATTCTCTATTAGTGTGATTGTTGAGAGGACAGTTTCTATCATTAGGATAGTCTCCAACGTTGTATTTTTGTGAGGTTAGCAGATTGGGTTTGAGAGTTTGAGACTGCTGGCTGTTTCTAAGCAGAATCCTTTGAATGAATAGTCTCCCTGAGTCAAAAGACTATACCAGAAATGTTTTTTTACTTTTTCCTAATTGCACCAAGAGCTGAAATGCACTATTTATCTGCCCTTTGAATTGTGTTTTAGGCTTTGGTTATGAGTGATGCAATGGTGATGGTGCTTTTGATCACCTTTCTTATTGTTAATTTTTCTTTTCCTCTTTTAAATTTGCACTATGTAATACCATCATAAGGAGAGTAGGGAAATAACTGGCTGTTTTGTTTATTAAAAGACTTACCCAATGAAGAATTGATTATGTAAGTAAACAAATTGGGTTTAATCAATATCTATGCTCCAATTGTTAGATAACAATCTGACTAACATAAACTTAACGAGGAACCTGATCTCGTAATAGCGGAAGCTTCAGGATCATCTGAATACCCCTAGCCATAGTTGTTGGTATTGCCTGGGATGGTAAACCTGCAGAATAAACGTGTTTTGTCTACCACTTCTCTCCCGAATACCTGATTGTGTGTGTATCCTGAAATACGGGAGCTGTGGGAGGACTGTTTTGCTTAGAAGCCTACATGCCATCAATGTAGGCAGATATTCAATTAAAACTAAACTGAATATCCTTAGTTGCCTAACAGATTAAGTCACCAATTGACTTAATCTCCTACTTGCACCACAGCCACCCAATAATATAATATATTATATTTAGAGAAAATACTTACACCAACTTGAGCACTGTGTAGGTATGTGATGGAGTATTAGGAATGTGAAGGGGAGTTAGGAAGAAAAAGGATTTTTGGGTATATGAAGTGATTAGTTCTAGTTGTATAACCATGTACTCCCACAGTGAAAAGCAAGAAATAAGGTCTCTTCTTCCTGTCTTTTCAACCTATTTCCTAGTCTTTCACTACATATTTACACCTTGAACTTTATTGTTGCCTTGTTGGCCCATTCAAGGTTCAAAATCATTTTGCTTGCTAATAGAAATAGAACTACAGTGGAGTGGGTGGTTTATCTGGGAAAGGTCAAAGGTTACTGTAATCTTTAAATATTCGCCTTTATCAGGAGACTTTTTTTTCCCCAAGAGATTGTGTTTTAGTTAAGTTAGCAGGCCTAATCTGTGGTGTTGTTGTTTTAGAATTTGTCCCCTTTCTCGGGAGGGACTAGTAAATGATTTGAGAAAGTGGTGCCTGCTGTTTTATATTTATACCATCACACACACCATGCTCGAGGACTTAGAAGACACACTGGTCTAGTGAGCCAAGGTGAACTGTGTGCTTTTTAGTGCTATTAGTGCTATCATCATGATTATAATGAACTACTTTGTGATGGGCTGAAATCCACAGTGGATAGGAAATTCTTGTGCTTTGGTGACTAATATTGCAAAAATGATACTTAGTCCTAATATAAATAGCTCTATGTAATTGTTAACGATGTGCTTGTAATTCATCTCCCAATAAGCACATACCTGTGGTGGGTGCTTTGTGTTTTAATTTAATCCCTCTTTTTCCTTTTCCCTTGTTATTAATTTAAGCTCTTCATAAATTGTTAAATGCTTGTTTTAAAATACATGTTCTATTTGACAATGTTTGGTTGTGAGGGTGGTTTGTCTGTTCTACTAGTTAGTTCCATGCTGCAGTTGAGATGGTATATATCCCAGTTTAATTTAAAGGTGCCCATTATCCATTTATCCATGTAGTTTGGGGTACCCCTCTGCATATTATGGATATCTGCTGTTCATATGTTCTATTGGCAATTCCCTCTGCATGTTTATGGCCACCTACCGTTAATCTGTTGCATACTTATACAAGTCTAAGAAATTTAACAAATTTGCTTTATTTCCTAATAAGCAGATCCATTATATTCTACTTTTCATGATGAGGAATGGGGCGTGCCAGTCCATGACGATAGGTACACCATTATCACATGACTTTGTTTGGTTCCACCATAGTCTATAACAAGGCCCTTTGATGATCTTCTTGGTTGATGGTTATTGAAATTTGCAGGAAGCTTTTTGAACTACTAAGTTTATGCACTGCGTTAGCTGAACTTACATGGCCAGCCATTCTCAGCAGAAGGCAAACATTCAGGTAACTTTGGAATTTATGGTGTGGTTTGGACCACTAGAAAAGGACTTTTATGAGACCTTCTACCCTTCAAATTTTGCTATTTCAGTTTGAATTTTGATTTTTTTTTTTTTTTAAATGCAGGGAGGTGTTTCAAAATTTTGATCCTGTTGCTGTCTCAAAACTAAATGAAAAGAAGATAATGGCACAGGGAAGTCCTGCCAGCTCTCTTTTGTCGGAGTTAAAGCTGCGGGCAGTTATTGATAATGCACGCCAAATATGTAAAGTAAGCACTTGTTTTTGTTGTCTGGCCTATTCATTATTTGCAAAATAATAAAGTCCAATTTTTACAGTTTTATGAAGCATTAATTATGGTGGAAGTGCTAATAAAGAAGTAATGGAAAATGTTTTCCATTTTCTGCTTCCAATTTGAACATTTTCCCCATAATTTTCCTTCTCTAATTGAAAAACAAAAGTTGGTGAATTGGGAACAAAACAAAAGGAAGTTGTTTTCCAACTCTATTAACAAAGTTGGAAAAGATGGTTCCAAATTTGTTTCCATATCTCAGTTTAGAGAGTATTTGATTTCAACTTGGACACAAACTCTATTTTCCATTTTGGTTTTCTATTCTTCAAAGAAAACGGAAAAGTTTCCATTACTAAACAGGGCAAAAACTGCACACATGTGATGCAGATAATTGATGAGCTAGGGTCCTTCAACAAATATATATGGGATTTTGTGAACAAGAAGCCTATAGTCAATAATTTCCGCTATCCACGACAAGTTCCCATCAAGACATCTAAAGCCGAAATGATAAGCAAAGACCTAGTGAGGAGAGGCTTCCGTGGCGTTGGACCCACTGTTGTCTACTCGTTCATGCAAGTTGCTGGAATTACAAACGACCATCTCGTCAGTTGCTTCAGATTCCATGACTGTATAGCTGCAGCTGCCGATGCAAGTAACACCACAGGTAACAGCCTCAGGGTCGAGGCCCATGTAAAACAACTCGAGGATGAAACCGAATTGGGACTAGTTAGGGCTATTGATGACTTGAGCTTATCGTCATAGCTCCACGTTGTTTACTAGATGCATTGTAATTCACACTTACAGAAGGGCGAGAAAGGTTTCTCGCCCCCCTCCTGTATTGAAGGGCAGCAAGTATGTGTACAAATAACTATGAAACTATTCTGTTCATTGCTTTTGTAGATTATGAAGCAGAATTTGGGTGGGTGCTGCATCCAAACCAAAATCCAGGTACCCTTCTGGGAACTCCTCCAAATCTTTGTTCACTTTATCTCTTTGTAGGGCTTCTTTTTGTACAGTCTATAAGTGTAAACTAACATTCTCTTTATAGCTTAGGTACATTTTTTTTTTTCACGAAATTCATGTCTCTTACTTCACAAGACCAAGTAGAAATGTTCTAGAATATACTTTTAGATAATAATTAAATGATGAAGTATGAGTCAATAATTTACAACTATCATTACTCTATTATTAGTGTGGGCAGGGAAGGACCACAGGAAACTTCTTTCCCTTTGTCTAAGCATTGTTTAGATATGCTCCTCTAGATTCTTGGGAAGGAATCCTTCTTTTTATTTTTATTTTTTTATTTTTAGTACTACGGGCTCTGTTATAATGTAGTATCTGTCCATACATAATTTCTCAATTTAGGGTTTGAACATGTGATCTCCCATTTGAGAGAGTCACAGTTATGTCCCTGGACCATAAGGTATCTTAGTATGGTGCAAAAATATCAAATTTCCCAAACATGAGATGGTTAAAGATTATTTATTGCACATAGCAATTTAACAAATCAAAATCTTGCCTAAAAAGTTGAATTCCCAACTCCATGCCTCCATGGTCCTTCATACCTTGCTTTGATAGAACATTTGAAAGAATGTAAATCACGATAACTCAGTAGTTCAACAGACATGGTCAGAATGTCGATACACACAAGGGATATGTATACCTTGGAATCAAAATGTGTCTGCTCTGATGGTGACAGCAGGTCGGAGATGTTGAAAAATTGGCAAAATTCAGAGCCCATTCAACAATAAACACAAAAAAGTCAAAAAAGATTGGAGAGGGTTGTTCAATTTCATTTGAAATTTTGAATTCATCCAATAGTAATAATACAAAAGGAGCATTCAGCTCTTGAACTTTCGAACTCTAGAGTGGCCCATGGACCGGGTTCAGCGCCATTGTGGACCCCCTTTTGAATATTGGTATTTACAAATTCCGCTTATCCAAACTACAAACAGGGTAACTACCGCGACCATTACTCAAAGATGTGTACTGAATTAATAACACCATGTCATATAAAATATCAAATTTTGGTCACTTTTAGTGAACAAACTTATGGTATTTTCTTGACATCGTGTTATGAACGGACCAAACAAGTAAACAAGCTTTAATATTTTACCATTTCTCTCTGTTGTTATGTGAGGGGAATTTTCCTGAAATGGCGGCTGCGATGGCTGCTTTGAAGGTGGGATCTTTTGTTAAGGAAGATGCCATTTGTTCAATAAAGAACTGTTGAAAATCCGGCCTGTCAACCGGCAGTAATGAGCTTCCGGCCGTCGGGGTAGAGGCGGTTTTAGCACCATTGGCATTGGCCACTGAAGACGGTGCTGTTTTGGGCGGCGTTAGGTCACGTGGTTGGGTGTTGAGGGAGGCAGCTGCTGTGGCGGAGCCACCATTGATGACTGGCGGCAAAGAACGGCCGGCTGCGGTGGCAGTGGTGGGGGATTGTTCTAGCTTTGAAGGGAGGTCATGGTTGTGCTCTCCTTCATATGTTGCCACCAAGATTGACTGATCTTCTACGCTTCTTTGCACCTTCTTCTTGACTGGGCAGCTAGGAGCAAAAGAGCACCTGAAATAAGCTCTTGGACATGGATTGTCCCTGGTTACTTTTTGACCATATTTCCTCCATTGATACCCATCCTTCACAATCTGCAATAATACCCAAACCCAATTATATTAAGTTCATTCAAGAAATAAACCTTGAGGAAGCCCGCACTGGCTTCGCTCAGTAATTTAGTATGCAGTATTTGAAACTCAGCAGTCGCAGTGTGGGAATTACGCCTAAAGTGGCAGTCTCGCAGATCCCTTGTACACACTGGCATTTAGCCTTATCTTATCTGCTGAACCACTGAATTACTGTGATTGAAGAAATAAAGTTCGAGGAATAGCAAGCTTACCAGGCTGGTATCTGAGGCTTCTGTCTTGACATAAACCTTGGAGGTGTTGGCTTTGATGATATGGTGCTGTTCCAATTCCCTCCTGGGTTTCTTGGCAGAATCTTCATCACTGGAGCTGCTCTCCGAGTTGACATTATTATTATTATTGCTGGTGGATTTTCTCTTTCTTGATCCCATTATAACTTGGCTATTGTCTCCATTAATGCTCCCACTTTGCTGCTGCTTGTTCATGTACTCCCTCACTTGCTCTCTCAATGCATTGTAGTTCCCACAAACCACTGTCAGCATTTCACTCAGCTTCCTATTCTCAGCACTCACTCTATTCAACTCCTCCATTAGCTCCCCCGCCTGCACCCATGCATAAAACGACACATCAGAACGTTGCGTTCTGTCTCAACTAAAAGTTTAAACAAATAACAACACACCAGAACCAGAACGTTGTCTGTATTTGTATTCTGTCCCAACTAAAAGTTTAAACAGATAACAACACACCAGAACCAGAACGTTGTCTGTGTTCTATCCCAACTAAAAGTTTAAACAGATTACAACACACCAGAACCAGAACGTTGTCTGTGTTCTGTCCCAACTAAAAGTTTAAGAATACTGTACACACCTCATCTTTGTTCCCAATGTTCATTCTCAGCCCAATGAAACTGCTTTCAACTTCTTGTTTCTGAACAACAAATTAAATTAAAACAAGGAAAAATCTCAGAGAAGAAGAAGAAGAAGGTTTTGAGATGTGTGTTCACATACCGGTCTGCCGCTAACAACTCTGATAGGCTTAGCATTGAGACCCAGAGAAGTATCAACCAAACTAGTAAACTCCATAGCCCCAAAAAGATCAAAAGCTTCAATTCTTCACAAACTCTTTTACTCAAATTCTGTGTTCCCAAACTAGCTTAAGCTTCAGTTCTTGTTATTCAGATTTATAGCTAAAAATAAAATAAAAGTAGAGATTTCTTGAAGACGCGCTGTTGCAGGAAGGAGGAAGGCAGGGGGGAAAGATGGGAGAAAGTGGATAAGAATATGCAAGCTGGGAATTGTTAGGATCCTCCTCGGATATATCACTGTATTTATAGCATAAAACAAGAAAAATTATTATTTTTTTCTTTAAAAAATGTGGAGAAAAAACGTTTTTGGGCCACTTGGTACCATTTATTAATTGGGGGGAGAAAAGTTTTTGTATTTCTTGTCGGCTCCATATTTTGACTTTTTTTTGTTGTTTATTTCTTCCGATCCGGTCAAAGTCAAGGCAGCCTTAGGAGGAAACTTGAAAGCAAAGAAAAAATAAAAAGTAATTGGACAGCTGAGGTAGCATGGATTTGGAGGCCAATTGCCAATTGGATGGGCATTGGGCATTTCTAAATTGACCAAATCCCTATCATCTATCACCTAATTACAACTGTAATTACTTCATTACAAATGTGATTAACTAGGACTTAAGAGTGACATGATTTTGTTTTTAACTTCTCCATTATAATGTTATTTTTGCTTTTAATTTGTACCTACTAGTTAGATTGAATGTAGTGTTTTAATGTTTTTTTAAGTAACTAATTAAATTCCGTTTATCATGTTTCAACATAAATTTTAATTTATTCTAGTTACAGAACCAATACTCTTTAAGGTACAAAGTTTCATAACACGAGACACAAAAATTCAAAACACAATACACATACACATGTTATATATTTACTTATTTTCAAATTTGATTTATGTAGATAATTTATGTCCTATAGGCACATAAGACAGAGTATGTTGTGTGTTACACAACTACTAATCTATTTCAAGTACATAATTCATATGCTTAAGGTACATAATTGCATAACATAAGTCACAAAACGCATAACAAAAGACACATACACATGTCTTATATTTCCTTTAGTTCAGGTACAGAATCAATATTCTTAAGGTATAGAATTGCATAACATAAGACACAAAAACACATGTTATATTTACTTTATTTCAAGTATAAAATTCATACGTTTAAGGTACATAATTGCATAATATGAGACACAGAAACACATAACACAAGGCACATATACATGTTTTACAGTTAAAAAAAACTCTGTAACATGAACTAAACAACAAATAATCGCTGTCAAAAATTAAAATTCAAAATGATATCGTATAGAACTAGGGTCCACGATATATCGATGGGATGTTCACAAAGTGAGGACATTTCCAAAGGACATGGGTGTGTGCCCTCCGACATATGATGGTTGTGTCCAATAATGCTTTATATTAATTCTTCTTTAAAAAAAATAAAAATAATAACACTCTACTTTAGACATGTTTAAAATGTGTTGTAGGTGTCCCGTGTCCGACATGATACAACATTGTTTAAAAGATACCCATACTTATGATATATGTCCTTTAATTTATTCTAAATGGATCAAAATTATATTATAGGATTTGCTTTATATATGACATGTGCATGTTGTGGTGTATTTTATTCATGATATTCATATAAAAACAATTCAATTTTAAATTTCGATTGAACGGTCTCTTTGAACAGATACTATACTGTAATAGAGTCAGTAGCATTCAAAAAAAAAAAAAAAAAAAACAATTGAACGTATGTACTTGGATTAACACGTGCCATAAGCTAGTTTTATTGTCAATTGTTTTAATGAACAAAGTAAAAAATACTTGTAAAATTAAAGTATAATTTGCTGATAAATTATATCTTTTTAGACAATAGACTGATATTCAAATTCTATTTTCTTTGCTCATTATAAATGCATATATTTATATATAAAAAAAAGGGTCAAATCAACTTTCCCTGAGTAAGAATCAAATTTTATAGACACGACTTATGTTAAATTCAGATTAATTTTATATTAAGAATACCGAATGTTGTATGTATAAATGTCGTATTTTTTTTTTTTTTTTAAAACAAGAGTTAAAAAAACTCGTTGATCTGATTGGAAAAAATTGGGTGCAAAATATTATGTATAGAAATAGAAAATTGATAAAGAGCGAAAAATAATTATTTGACTTGGTACAATTTCTAGAGCGAAAAATAATTATTTGACCGGTCCAATTAAAGGATAAAGTGTTGGCCAGATTAATTTTTTTATACGAGAGGGAGTTCGAAATCTCTAACTTTTTATTTAAACTTTGTATTTGACCAAAGATTGTGTTTGAAAACCTCTTATATGCTATTTAGGTTTTCTACGTTTTTCACACGACCAAGTAGTATAGTAGATGTGTTTCAGGAATAAGTATTTGCTGACTTGGTTTTTTAAAAGGAGAAACAAATTAAATGCGTCAAAAAAAAAAATAAATATTTTTTTTTTTTTGAGAAAAAAAAAATATTATTATTGATCTGATGTCAATTTAGTTAATTAACTACAAAGAATTGTCTATTTTATAAAAATTGAATGACTAATTAACGTTGTTTATTTTTCAAAATTTAAATAATTAATGTTATTTGTGATCTGATGGTCTAGTGGCACGAAGTGGCTCTTTCAAATGAGAGGTTATGAGTTCGATCTATAGAGTGGTGACGGTATTAACTTTTTGTGTTTCAGTGCTTTGAAGAAGTAGTTATGAATATCAGTATTATTGGTCGTAGTATCTATTGTTATAAATATATAGTAACTATGACAGTTTTATAAATAAAATTATAGTTATATACAAAAATATCATTATCTTTATTTATTTATTTATTTATAATAGCAACTAGGCATAATATCTTTTTGGGATTATAAAATTTCTCATGATCTATTGAAGGCGGTTCTTTTAAGATCAGACTCTAACTTACATATATTTTTTTTGTTCAAATTTGCTAAAATGATAAATTATATTCCGTATTTCTTTTTAGATAATAAATATTTATGAGTTTAAATTATATCTTCTTTATTCACCAAATGTATTAAAATAAAAGAGTTATAAGTCAAGTCTTTCATGAGCAAGACTTAAATTCTATTAACACGACATATGCCAAATTCGAATAAGTTTTATAATGGGGATATAGGATGCCGTATGTAAAAATGCATTCAAAAAAGTTAGAAAAAAATAAAATTTAATGCTGCTCAGATTGAAAATTTTTTTTAGGTGCAAATATTATGTATAGAAATAAAAAAAATTCTCAAAAAAAAAAAAAAAAAAACCAGCATATTAACATTCCGATTTGAACCGATCAACTATGACCAACTTAGACTAGTTTATTTTCTTATGATCATTTAGACTAAAATTTCAAGGTGATTTTAACTCAAAATGTAGTTTTAAATAAATCAAATTAATTATTTGACTTGGGACAATTTCAACTCTTTTTTATTTAAATTTTGCATTTGACCTTTTTTTTTTTTGTTTTTGTTTTTGTTTGCATTTGACCAAAGATTGTGTTCGAAAACCTCTTTTAGTAGTTTTTCAACGTTTTTCACACGTATAAGCTAAGGAGGCAACAGTTTCGTAGACGCGTTTCATCAGGAATGGGCTGACTTTGTTTTAAAAAAGGAGAAACAAATTAAATGCGTCAACACATTATTAAATATTATTGATCTAATTTCAACATATATAATTAATTAAAATAATGTCATCTCCCTTAATTGTACACTAGTAAGTGCCCCGTGCTAGTGTGTAAGGTATGATTTTTATCCTCTTAAATTTTTTTTTTTCATGTCTATTGCGCATTTCTTGATTCATCTTCCCCAGATCACACGGTATAAAGCTCTATAAGAGATCTAAACTCCCAGAAACATTCTTCTCCCTATTCTAGCCACAACCATCCTCCCAATTCCAGCCACGACCAAAACATAATTGTTGTATTGATTGTGGTCCTGTGGATGATGATTTATTTATAGTATTGAAGTAGATGTAGATGTTCATGTAAATATTGATTCTGAATTTTAAATTTAATTATTTATGATGATTATGATTAGGAAATTTTTTTCCTAATCATTTTGCTTTAATATATATATAGAGATAGAGATATAGATTTTTCCCTAATCATTTTGCTTTAATATATAGAGACAGAGATATATAGATAGAAAAGACAAGAGATAGAGATATAATATATAGTATATAATATATGCAATATTTTATAAATTAATGATATAGACATTTTATGTTGACTAATTTAATAATTATGTTGATGTTGATTTGATATGTAATTAAAATTACATGAATTTATAAACTAATGTGAATACAATAAATGCTTTTACATTTTGGAGGAACAAATTTTTTCCTAATCATTTTGATTATATATATATATATATATATATATATATAGAGAGAGAGAGAGAGAGATTTTAATGTTCACTTTTTTAATATATGTAATAATATTATATATATATATATATATATATATATATATATATATATATATATTCATGGTTGGGCTACTATGAATTGACTAACTTTATCCCTCATAAAAAAACATACTTATTAATCAAATACAAAAAAAAAAAAAAAAAAAAAAAATCAATGAAATATTGCCATGTATGGAAGTGAATATTAAGATTTGAAATTACGAGAGAAATATATAGCATTACTTAATTAATCAATTCCAAAGAGTTATTTATTTTATGAAAGTCAAGAGAGTAGCGTTGTCTATTAAATGGATAATGTTATTTATATATGGAAAAGTATTCTCTTTACTTTTGACATGATGCTGTATTATTGGTAATAGTACATATTGCTATAAATAGAAAGAAATTGCGACATTTTTCTTATTTACAAAAATATTATTGTCCCTTCCTATTTGTATTTAGTTATGCATGGTATCAACGGTCGACTCCACAACTTCATTTATAGCCCTCTCAATAGGTCTCTCCATAGCCTCTACAACTTTCTTGGCCACCATCAATAAGGAAAGGGGTTCAACATGTTGCTTACAAGAACGAACAAGGGTCGAGAGTCGGACTAGTGTTCTTGCATCGTTATAAAGAGATCACTATTAATAGGGGGAGGGGGTCTAAAACCCTGCTTAGAGGATTAGGAGTCAAACTAGTATTCTCGCGTCATTGCAATAAGATCACCATCAATAGGGGGAGGGGGGACGACACCGGCCTTGCTCAGAGACAAGAGCCGAGAGTCGGGCTGGTGCTACTACGTCGTT